AGAGAAAGATACAAAAGCAAAATGTCTCTTTATTGTGTTTGGAAGGATCATCCAATAAAGAACATGGGGATAAATGATGCTCTTTGGGACTACTTGAAGCCTGAGATTTGCATTTGGTTGCTTACCAGAGAAGTGAGATCAAATGGAATTCAAGATTTTCCCTAAGTCCCCAAGGATCCTTTTCTATTCTCCACCTATAATCTACCAGGCAGTTCCTGAGCAGGAAAGGGAATGGGAAAGCTGTGACGTGAAAACTTACACCATCTGAGATAAGAGAGTGCCATCCAACCACTTCCAGGAAGGCCTAGCTCCTGTTTTATGTAATCCAATCCAATAGTTGTATTTTATTTTTGATTGAATGATGTTCTGTGGGAAAATTAGAATTATTGGCATTATTCATAACATCAGTGAAAACACCTCATCCACAGAAGACTCACAAAATACTGGGCACCTTTATCTTCAAATGCCACTCTGCTAAATGGAAGAGGCAAGCTACTTTCTCCATGGTGCAGAGAAGAACTGGATATGGAAAGGATTCAACGAACGACCATGGTGCAGAGAAGAAATGGATATGGAAAGAATTCAATGAACGAATCACTCAACTCTTAGTGATTGAATGAAAGCTATCCAGAAAGGGACATGATGGACTTAAAAACTTCACATATAATAAAGTAGATAAGTAAATAGGATTGCACTAAACCTAGAACTTCTCTCTACCTTAAATGTGAAAAGACAAGCTTCAAATCTGGAGACATCTGCCGTAATTTAAAGAACAGATAGTTCTGTAAAACAATATCAAAATAAAATTATCCAATAGGAAAAAAATGGACAAAACATAAGAACACATTTCAAATAAATAAAGCATATAGCCAATAACTATAGAAAGAGCCAAGCTCACTAGAGATCGGGAAAATGCAAATCAAAGTCACAAGGATATATTTTACAACTATTCAATTTGCAGAAAGTAAAAATAACAACACCAACTTTGTGGGATAGTAGAGATCAAAGATATCTTTAAAACTGGTGCTAAAATCATATTAGAAAATAATGTGGAATTCTCATATAAAATTGAACTTGCACAAACACTATTGACCAATGATTCCACTCCTAGGATGATTTGTCATAAAAAGAAGAGAATACACATGGAACAATGTTGCACAGAGATATGTCTAAGAATGTTTAATGAAGGACTATTCATAGCAACAAGAGCTGGAAACAACTGAAATTCCCATCATCTAGAAAATGGATGAAGCTTATCATACTGTGGAATCTTACACAGCAGTGAAAATGAAGAAACTATACCTACAAGTGTTAAAACAGCTTATGTCATTTATTTGCTATGTACAATGAAGAAAAAAAAAAAACTTTCTTGAGTATTTTCCATAACTATATGGAGTATTTTCCGTAACTATATATAACTATAAAGTAGGAATCATACTCTCAGTTTTGAAAATTTTGTGCACTGAATAATGAATGCAGGGTCAAAAATATCTTTAACATAAAAAACTGTAAATTATTTGTAATCATTATTCCAACTGGCATATTTTATTCACTTCAAATGTTTCCTTATGGATGCAAATGTGAAGCAACAAGCTAATGTTCTTTCCTAAAAGCAATGTATTGGGGCGCCTGGGTGGCTCAGATGGTTAGGCGTCTGCCTTCGGCTCAGGTCATGATTCCAGGGTCCTGGGATCGAGCCCCGCATCGGGCTTTCTGCTTGGCAGGGAACCTGCTTCTCCCTCTCCCTCTGTCTCCCCCCTGCTCATGCTCTCTCTCTCTCCGTATCTCTGTGTCTCAAATGAATAAATAAAATCTTTTAAAAAAAGAAAGCAATGTATTTATTACCTCTCTCTGTCTCTCTTTCTCTCCCTCTCTCTCAAATCCTCTCTCTTTCTGTCTCTCTCCCACTCTTTCTCTCTCCTCTCAAACACACACGCATACACATACACACACACTCCAATATTTTTTTCACTATAATTAAATTGCATAAGAAAAAAAATCTCAATAGTGTATCTTTTAGAGTAGGAAAAATGGATGGTTATTATATAAGTGTCACAAAAATATACTTTATCATTTCTAGGTCTCTGAAGAAATACTAAAGTTAAATATTCATTGATTCTTTCACTCACATATTTTTGTTAGATTTAGGGGTATACATAAATGTATAAAAGCCAATCTCAGTTTTCTGTATCAATGGATTTAAGGCACTGCTTTCATTACACCTCTAGGCTTTGTAAAACAGCAAAAGACTGAAAATCCTAAACCATTAGTGTAAGAGTAATGCTATTCTACAGCAAAGTCTGTTACAGGGTTTGTATAGTGCATCAGTATTCCAGTTTAGATCCTGACAGCAAGGCTATCAGATAATAGACTATGAAACTCAGCTTTTGCTCTAACTAGTGGCAAAAGAATCAAGGAATTTCAAAGGCTCTAGATTAGCTCATGGAAATACAGACATAACAAGCATAAGAAGTTTCATTCAAACTCTGAAGCATAGAAACTTCAATGGCAGGACTAAAACTGAAGAACCCTGAATTGGAAATTACAGGGAAAGTACAGATTACAAATAAAGTTAATTTCTGAGAGAAGAAAACTCAAATCTTTTAGGAACAACTGATAACAACTGAGGTTTAAATTAATCAAGGTACTAATAAGATGTAGCTGGATTTTTAAAATTTGACTCCTTATGCAATTACTTAGTTCATCTGTTTCTTATAGGTAAAAGTGATTCATTCATATTGTTATTTTAATAAGAATGTTATAAATAAGAAAACACAAGCATTTTTTGTTTGTTTTATTTATTTATTATTTACTTTTTTAAGTAAACTCTACACCCAACATGGAGCTTGAACTCACAACTCTTGAGATCAAGAGTCACATGCCCCACTGACTGAGCCAGCCAGGCACCCCTGGTTGTTGTTGTTGTTGTTGTTGTTTTTCAAATACAGGGCTTTTAACTCATCCTTCACAAGATACTACTAGAAGTAACGTTGCTAGGACTAAACAGTGTGACTGGAATTTGGTGCCTAAATGGAATCATTAGAAGGTAATCTGCAGAGTCCATTCAATTGACTTTATAGTCCTAAACTTTATAAGGAATGGCAAATTTGATCTAGATTGTCTCTTCTAGAAAAGAGATGCTTCCTCTGCCATTCTGGATTATATGTAAAATAAAAGTTCATCTTCAAAGAATCACTCCAGTAAATTCAATCTCTATTTTTTATCATTTTTCCCATGGCCATGCATGAAAGTGAGAGACTCATCTTCCCTTACAAGTGTGATTCCTTCCAAATATTGAGAGAAGGTACAGCAGAACTCAGTACAACAAGAATTATCTCTTTAGGTTGCTCACACCATTGAAGGCAGTTTTTGTTTTGCCCTGTATTAGCCCTGAGAAGCTAAATACTGAACCGTGTAATGAACATTAAAATGTGAAGATGCAACACATGCAATAAAAAGACTAAAAATGAAATGGGACAGCAGAGCCATTTCTCTTGTTCATTGTTTAAAACAATGGATCTTGGGGTGCTTACGTGGCTTGGTTGGTTAAGCACCTGACTCTTGAGCTCAGCTCAGGTCTTGATATCAGGGTCATGAGTTCAAGCCCCATATGGTCACCAGGCTGGACTGAAGCCTACTTAAAAAATAAATAAATAAAACAGTGGTTCTTCTGGGTCTCTGTTACACCTTCTTCTCTTCTCCAGAGAAATCAACACTGATTAACAAGTGCTTCAAAACAAAGTGGCCAAATAATATTGGAGAAAAGTTGAAATAATTATCCTAATTCAAGACATAGGACTTCTCATAAAGCATTTAATCAGGTTTAATAAAGTAGACATACCTGCTCCTCTTTATTATCAATCTTAATGAGACTAGAACTCAGGTCTTCACATGACTTCTTACTCCTCTCCCAAGTTTTCTCTTCTTTTGAAAAATAGTAACAGCTTTTTCCACAGCAGTACCAATTTTCTTGAAATGAGTCATAGTCTTTATCTTGAAAAGAAAAGCCACCAAGATCCTCAACCACAAGACCACTTAGAGACCTGCACTTTCCACATATGTCTTGCTTACTTCAGACTGAATGACCAAAAATAGATGGTTTTCCCATTTCCCAAAAGTCTAATGTTGGGAATAGCTCTTTGGCCAAATTGTGGAGCCAGGTACTGTCTCTGACAGACCTCAGACCATTGTTAGGATTGCACTAAGAAATTTTGACTTCTCAAGGACAAATAAACTGCAGTCATGTGGAGCAGATATCCTTGCAGGAAGAAATCCACAAAGTGAATTTACAGAGATGGTGGTAATTCCAAGGGATATATTAGGGAAAATTCATCCATGATCATAAATTACTCAAATAATCAAATCAACATGACTTTGTGAAAGTCAAGATTTAGATGAGCTATTATGAAGAAAATGGATTTGATTTCAAAAAAAAAAAAAGGTAAGCAAAATTAAAGGACCTGACAAAGCACAACATAAAATTTTTAATTATATATTGAAATGGGACAGAGGGGATAATTCCATGAAAAAAAAACACTTGTAAACTATCACTGTAAGTATTCAAGTACATACCTGTAAAAGGTGGTAAAATAGAGTGATCTTCAGCCTCTCCTAAGGAAACACTTTTTTCTTTTGTATTGTTCATATCTAGCATTGTGTGTGCAAAACACTTCTGAAAAACTTCAATCCATATTATAAAATTAAGGTCATGAATGCCTTTCATAGATCACATTATTATACTTGCTTACTCTAATTCTAAATGGCATAATGAATGTTGTTGACTAAATGAAAGTACAATCAGAAAAAATGGTAGTTTAAAATAGTTTGAAGTATCAGAAAATAAAACAGATTTTTAAATAAAAATATAACTTGCTATCCATTATTTTTAAGTATATAAACTTATAAAACACAAAACATATAAACATATAAATCAGAAAATATAAACTTGAAATAAAACATTAACTAGTTTCTATGTCATCTAATTTTCAAATAAAGGTTTCAAAGTTGGTGAGATTTTGTATTTAGTATTTATTTAGCAATTAGTATTTGCATGTAAAGCCAAATACAGTGATCTGACTCTCTTCTAGGATAAACTTACAGTTGATTCATTGAATTTACATGGACCAAGAGCTCAGACAGCTACTTCTAATATACAATATAGCAATATCTTCCCAAAACTCACAAATAAAAAACGTAAAAGCATAAAGTATATTGCTCTGTAAGTGTGTGAATATTAAAAGAAAAATCCTTTAAGGTTTTGTTACACAACTGAGAATCTTAATTTCCATTTCTGCTACCACCCACCATCATTCAGCCAAATTCAATGTCTACTTGTAAAAATCCAACAATATTAATTGCACAGTCTCTTAATGTAGTCAATTGCAATAAATATAACTATTGCTTCAATTCAGCCATCCATTCCAATGTTTATATACTGGATCTGAATTAAAAAGACATACTAAGGGGCGCCTGGGTGGCTCAGTTGGTTAAGCGTCTGCCTTCAGCTCAGGTCATGATCCCTGCATCCTGGGATCAAGCCCCATGTCGGGGCTCCCTGCTCAGCGGGGAGCCTGTTTCTCCCTCTCCCTCTGCTGCTCCCCCCTGCTTGTGGGCTCTCTCTCTCTGTCAAATAAAAATATAAAATCTTTAAAAAAATAGGAAATTGATATGAAATATAAAGTGATATAGAAAATAGATCAACCTTATATTCCTCTGTGATTTAAGCAGTATTGCAGTATGATAAGGAATGTAATATTCAAGTAAAGATTTTCCCAATTCTCTGATTATATAGAAAACCTCCTTCTACACAAAATATAAGGATAGATATATGTGTAAGCCTCACTGTACAGTTCAGCCAAATTTTGTGCTATTACAACTATTATGTACCCTATTTTGTGTAACATAAAAACTAAGTGATAACAAAATAATAAAATCATCATCATCAATATTATCATCAATGCCCTCATGATTATTAACATTTCTATAGGACTTTATGATTTACAAGGGTTCCACAGAAATTCAGTAGTTATAACATTTCATTTTTCACTCTGGTTCACTGTTCTCATAAGAACTGTGTATGTCCAATACTCACACATAGATCCTAAGCCTGAGATTGCCAGCAGGAGGAAAAAACATATAACTCCTAGGGTTAATGCAACCGTATACCATGGAAATTCTGTACAAAATCAGAAAGCAAAATATATAATAAACACTGAGCATAGCAAAGCTCCCAGAATTAGAACGAAATGGAAATTCATTCTGGAATTAAAATGAATGTCAGTATTCACTGTGATAATAAAACTCATTGAATATTACATTTAAATATACACATTGATATAGAAAGAGCCAGACATAAAATATCAAATAAGTATAGACATGATTATTATGATTTCACTTTTTCTTATTTGACATCATAACGTTTTCAGAAAACAAGAAAACAAACTGAAAAACCTTTACCTCTCCTTTTATCCATCGGACGTCTTTTGTCCTTCTGTTTCCCCGAATAGGGTAATTTTAGCTCCAAGTATATCACTCTCTCCTCGCTCATTTTTGAGGGCTGCTGTCAAAGAACACAGCTCAAATCCTATGCAATGTTTCATGAGGCATGAAAATAACATTATTTATCATGAAGTAACAGGGACTGGTAATGAATGATAAGCATGATCATCTGAAATAAGCAAGTTAAAGCAAATATTTATCTGGGAATATTAGAAAGAAAATTGTTTTTAATTTCTTTTTGTAATGCCTTATAACAGCAATCCTACACAATTAAATAAAGGTCCATTAGTGTTTATGGACATGTTATGTTAAGCTTTCACTGTTTTTATTTTTTTTTTTTAAAGATTTTATTTATTTATTTGACAGAGAGAGAGATAACGAGAGCAGGAACAAGCAGGGGGAGCGGGAGAGGGAGAAGCAGGCTTCCCGCAGAGCAGGGAGTCCAATACGGGGCTCGATCCCAGGACCCTGGGATCACGACCTGAGCCGAAGGCAGACGCTTAACGACTGAGCCACCCAGGCACCCCAAGCTTTCACTGTTTTTAAAATAACTTAATTCATTGCCAAAATTTAAAAATGTATATTATATTCCATACTCACCTAAAAATCTAGATTTATATCATCTTTTTTTTTTAAAGATTTTATTTATTTATTTATTTGAGAGAGAGAGAGAGAAACAGCATGAGAGGGGATAGGGTCAGAGGGAGAAGCAGGCTTCCTGCCGAGCAGGGAGCCGGATGTGGGACTCGATCCCAGGACTCCGGGATCATGACCTGAGCCGAAGGCAGTTGCTTAACCAACTGAGCCACCCAGGCGCCCAGATTTATATCATCTTTTGAAAAATTATGTTTAATCACTTAATGCCTGTTTTATGCCCCAATGAGCACTATACTGACACCAAAAAGAGTAACTCCCTCTTTAGTAAGAACACACACATCCCAATTTGACAAACTAAGCACCTGCCACATTACTTATGTCAGACCCCACTGATTCATTCATGTAAACTCTATACTCACTGGGTCATGATTCCATTTCAGAGTATGAGGAAAATGTGGAAATCATGGGATTCAAGGAAAGGAAGTTTAGGAAGTAATATTAAATGAGGGAGGAATAACTTATCATTCTAACAACTATGCTGCACAGTGGTGATTTCATTTCTGTTTGTAAACGAAGAAAACTGGGGCTCCAAGACATGTAATATATATAAATATTTATTTAATTCAAGTATGTATATCATATATATAGCTTATGTATATTTATCCAAATAAATGGTCTTTCATCTACACTTAACTTGTATAAACAATACCTTTCAAAAAATACTTAATAAACTCTCTCCCCTAAAATATAAATAAATACATAGTGATTAAAGAGGAGAAAATATTTTCCCAAAAGAATATTTTTGGTAAATGTAGAAAGAACCAGATAACTGTTCTTCCTAAATAGATTTGATTCTTGGGTTTTCAAAATATCTTAATATTTTACCATTTCATTACTTTATAATATCAGGAAACTGATTTGAACAATCATCTATAATGGTATAATGTATAAACACATTGCCATTTGTTTTTCAATAAATATTCTCTCTACCCAAGTGCCAAATCATAAAGTAAATCTTGTCTCAATGTCATGTTTTCCTAGCTAACTGGTTTCTGTTTAATGGTATTTTAATTGAATATCTGTATAACAAAATAACAAGAAAATAAATTTACAAATATAAAACTGGGTATGTTTTGATAGAAAAATAACCATATTTTCAAAACAAAAAACTTTTTTTTTTATTACACTTAACTGAAAGGTGACAGAATTTAAGCTTTGGATAATACATTGTTAACTGGTTAGGTAACACCCATAGAGATAAGAGCGGAAAAAACACAGATTTATATTGTCTAAAAAAGAATTAAATATCCCTTAAAATATCTAAGGATTAAAAAAATCATATTATGCATAGGAAATATTTTGACCCACTCTCATTCTGATCCATTCCTGTCTTCACTTGTAGAATAAAGTTAACATTAGATATGAATTAACATGGATCCCAAAGTCAGTTATTTTCTGCAACATTCCAACCCCTCACAACTTCCTACATAGCTTTCCTGTAGCAAATTTTACTCTATCTCCCTTTGCTCCACAATGGGACAGCACAGACATGGGTCACACAAGCTCGCTGGCTGTAATACCTGCTTCTGTGCCTTGGGATCTCACCAGCTGGAGAAATAGCGTGGTCAGGAACACAGCTATGATGTCCTGGCTCTGCGGGCCTTTCACCTCTGCTTTGACTCTAGTAGGTACTTGCTGATATGCTTCACTGGCTCTCAGAGAGACCATGTCAGAAGAAAGAATGC